TTTACTTTCCTTTGCATTTCTTTCCTTCCATTTTTCGCTGATATCTCTATTTTTAACTATACTAAAATAAAATGCTACTTTTAGTAATTAATCTTAAATTAATCACAAATTTTGAATATCTAGAAAAGAAATTTTTTCACCTTTGGCGTACCCAAGTGTATCGTCTCAGACAACGGTACCACTTCACCAGTTCCATACATTTGGGAATCCAAACCAAGTTCATCTTTGTCTAACATCCACAAGTCAATGGTTATGTTGAATCTGCCAACAAAGTTATCCTTAATTGAAACTCGTTGTTGTTGCCAAAAAAAGTAAGTTCACATTGATTGTTTTTAGTTTGAATCAAGGATTAAATCGTGAAAAAAATATACAAGATAAGACTCGCATTATGGTACACTATATTGAAATGAGTCAAAGATACAAGATGAGACTCACATTATGATACACTACTAAATTTAACCTATTTGTTACTTTCATTATTGATGTCTTTGAACTTAATGAGAAATATGGCTTAACATCATAGCAACAAATTGAAGGTTATAATTTTATAAAATCTACGCTTGAATTATTTTTAACTTGTACATAATGAAAAATATATTTAAAGTTACTAATGCTTTATCTCAAACATTAGAAAGAAGCAGACAAGATATTATAAATGATATATCATTTGTTAGACTATGCAAGAAAATATTACAAAGTATGATATATGATGGTGACATATTTTATTAAATGAATTATCATATTATGTGAGAAGAAAATAATTAGCATTTTAAATATAGTTAGATGAACTCATTATACAAGGAAGATTCAAGTTAAGACTATTTCCTCCGGTGCCAGACTGTTCAAGCAAGGAACAAGAGACTTATAAACTACATTGTATTTTTCTTTAGTTCCGTACAACCGTGTGTACGATTCTTTATGTGCCTTCAACTCTTGAATAAGTTAATATCAAACAAGCGTATGAATATCTTCTCCTTTATCGAGTAAAGCCGAAACGGCTCCGTAACCGCAATTACCGTCCCCCTCAACATTGACGATACACTTGATATATTTGTGCATAAAAACCGACATCTCATCAATGAATGGAATCTTCATTGGAAGCGGCGTCAAAGGTGGTTTGCTAATGCAGGCTCCTTTCACAACACTTTTTTTGAGATTTTGGAGTCGGTGAAACGGGAAATTTTTTGTCAACGTGTTCAAAATATGAAGGAGACCATGTAGTCAAGTTGTCATTTGGTATAGGCTTCATTTTCTTCGGAGCACCTTTTGTTTTTACCAGTTGAGAAGGCGGTTTCATGTCAGTGGTTTCAGGATAGGCAATCTTCCTCAATTGTTCTTTGATGTGGAGTTTCATGTTGTCATCAGCCTTCGAAAATCTCTCTTGTATCGCTTCCCATTCGGTTAAAATAGAGATATTTGATTTACCTTTATCGGTGCATCCATCATCATCAAACCTAAGTCTCTTCCAATGAGAGCAAACCTCATCCATTTTTATTGGTTCACGAAGTTTTACCTTTTTAGCAATAACACAAGCACATGGGAGACCATATGTTTTCACAATAGTTCAACTACACTTTGCGCTATCGGAGCCTACATTATCAGCTCGTTTAGCCTCGTGAAAAATATAGTTCAACCCGGCCTCAGAAATATTGTCGACCAAATGAGAATAAAGAATGTTGTCTTTAAATCGGTGTTTCATAATTGTCATGCTCCAAAAAAATGTTGTTTGTATCTCATTATGTTGGTTTTGAATCATGTGGTTCACAGAGTCCCAATCTCGACACAAATCCCCCTTGCTATTTCTCAACCAATTTTTGAAAGTAGCATGGGTCGACTCAACTTTGTTGGTAGTTGTATTTACAAGGTGTCTGACATTACCAGTCCACACACAAACTATCTTCTCCTTCACCTGATCAAGAATGATGCTTTCAACATATTTCAACAAAGCATGATACTTTTCACACACTTTCCAAAAATGAATGACGGAATCGGCATATAATTCTTTTGTGGAAGAATTTATTATACAATTTCATGCTTCCATTATTTTTTCCACAATTACACCAGCCTTCACCAATTTTCCACCTTCGCAATCTACTTGTTTTGTCCCTACCGCAGATTTAACCTGACTTCTCACATTCTTTGTTATGTGATACTTACAAAGTAATGCATAAGAAGAAGGAAATATCTTTGCAACCACATTCATCAATGTGGTATTGCAGTCGGTAACAATAGTTTTAGGCATCTCTCACCTTGATCCTTCAAAAGTGACTGACGCACCTCTAATGTCCAAGTAAAATTGTCCTCTTTTTTACACTCTAGAAATGCAAAACCAACAGAGTATGTCTTCTCAGTTGAGGTAACACCAACCATCTCAAATAATGGAAGTATATATTTATTGGTCTTGTAGGTAGAATAAAGTATGAGCGCTGTCAGAAACGTGTTGAACAACTTTACCGAATCAGGATGAGTCTAAAAAATATCTCTAACTGTAACTCCATCATCGCGAGTTCGGTACCGGGACACGTAACTGTTATCGTTCAACATTTTCAACAGTTGTTGCATCTCAGTTCTATCCCCCTAATCACCTTGTTAGTGAGGTATCAAATAATATACATTTGCTTGATATTTGATATATTGTCAGGTTGCTTCTGTTTCAATGTTGCAAGTATATTTTTCGGTTGAACAATGGGGAACTGATCATGCAGCTGATAGCTATATCATATATTTTCGGAGATACATCTCCGGAAAAACCTGACATGCAAAGGTGACAAAAAATTCAAATTGCCACCCACAAATTCCGAAGATATATCTTCGAAATATTCACTGAACTGGACAATTTAAGTGTTTTCTCCAAACCGTTCCGAAAATATATCTCTGAAGTAAAACTTTAGCAAATGCATGAGACAACCCTCAAAACGACCTTTGTTGGGTGCCTAAGAAAAATCTATACGGTGCCTAAGAAATACAGAAGATAGAAAAAGAAATTCTCTAATTTTCTCCTGTGGAGCTTATGCTTATGGACTTGATAGTCGGTGTGAAATTTTTATTAAACATCTCAATTTTATGGTCAATTTTCAAAGTTAAATGGAATTAATAATCTTTTAAAAATGTTGGTGAACACTAAAAAATGTGTTGTGTGTGCTTTGATATATTTACTTGTGACAGCTCCAACTATTATTTTGTTATAAATATAGAGAATGACATATTTAATAATGTAAATATTAAAAAATTATTGAACATTTTGAAAATATAAAAACTCGTAAAGAACAATGAAAAAATCATTGAACATTTAATACGAGAACTAATGGAGAACAATGAAAAGAATCATTAAACATTTTGAAAGCTAAATAAAAATAAAATATAAGAGTTTAAGAGGTATAGTTTATACTAACATCTAAAAGAGTATTCTGTTTTGTTAAATAAAATCATTCATTTTAAAATACAGCCAACCTCTAAAAGGACACTCTATTCTGCTATATAAGAATTCATTCTATCTTATATTTGGTCTTTTTAAGAAGGTTTAAATAGTTTTTTTTTTTTGTCTCCGCCTGTTTTTTATTTTGGTTCTTAAATTCTTTTATTGAATCTAGGGGTGGCAAAATGGATGGATTGGATGGATATGGATTGGATTGCTAATGGATGAATTAAAACAATCCATTAGTCCATTAAAATCCACTAAAATTTTATTAAAATTATCCAATCCGATCCATCCATTAAAAATAAAATCCATCCAATCCATCCATTAACATATTTTTAATGGATGGATATCCATCCATCCAACTTTTTTTTTAATTTCGTAAAAATAAATATTTTTTTTTCAAAAACAAATTAATTTTTTATTCTAAAAAAAAAAACCGATTTTTTTTTCAAAAAAAAAGTCGGTTTTTTTTTCGAGAAATTTTTTTATTTTTTTTCGAAAAACAAATTAGTTTTTTATTCTGAAAAAAAAATCGATTTTTCAGAAAAAAAAAGTCGGTTTTTTTTCAAATTTTTTTTTTCGAAAAACAAATCAGTTTTTTATTCTGAAAAAAAACCGATTTTTTTCAGAAAAAAATTGATTTTTTCCAAAAAAAAAGTCGGTTATTTTTTCGAGAAAAAAATTTATTTTTTTTTCGAAAAACAAATCAGTTTTTTATTCTGAAAAAAAAAACTGATTTTTTTCCAAAAAAAAAAGTCAGTTTTTTTTTTTCGAAAAACAAATCAGTTTTTTGTTCTGAAAAAAAAAACTGATTTTTTTTTCAAAAAAATTAAATTTTCTTTTTCAGAAAAAAAATATAGTTTTTTAATTATTTTAAAAAAAATAAATCTAACGAAAATAAAAATAATCCATTGGATCCTTAAAATATGTTAGATGGATTGAATCAATCCATGCATATAAATGGATGGATTGAATCCATCCATGCATGTAAATGGATGGATTTAATCCAATCCATTAACTTATTTTTTTTGTGGTGGATGGATTGGATGGATTTTTTGATGGATGGATTGGATGGATTTTGCCTTAATGGATTTAATTGCCACCTCTAATTGAATCTCTAACTAGATCGAAATAAAAAACGCGTCAATTAATTTGCAGAAATCAAAAAATATTTACACCGTTCAAAAATCATGGTAGCACAAAGATAAAAGGTGAACCTCTAATTCTCAATGACTTTCTATTTAATAAAAAATATTCTGCTCTATTTAAACAGAAAATGAAAATTTAAAATAACATATTTTCTTGTAAAAATTCATAAAAGTTAAACTACGGAAGATAGATATTGATAAATGAACTATGATCTACTAAAATATGGATGAAGGTAAAACCTTTATAAAAAAAGAGTGTAGGAAAATATGGATGAGGGTAAAACCTCTATCAAAAGAACATTAAAGCGTAGGAAAATAAGGGTTTGTAATAAATTAAACAATAACAAATAAATTGAAAGCCATCCATAGAAGAAGAATGAAATAATGAAAAATATTTTCTATAATGGTATAATAATAATAAAATGACATTGAAGCTAATTAAAGAGATGTTGTATCCATTGTTCCAACACATGAGGGGAACCATACCATGGTCTAGTTGCATCGTCTGAACCAACCGGTGAGTGATAAACTCCATCAAGAGAAATGTTAAGTGCACCCTCAAGATGAGCTGATACTTGTGGCACAACACCATCGCCCCATACATCTGCTTTCCCACAAACCTGTGCACAACATAATCTCCATAGTTGTTGCATCTATTACACTATAAAATTCTAACAGTAAAATAAAACAAGTGCATTCATTCATTCACCTGCTTGTATCCTTGTCCAACAAAGCGAGCACGTAATGTTATGTTAGGAGAAGAAGTGCTCGCAGCCTCCATAACAGTAGCAACCTCGGGAACTAGCTGAGAACCATTAGTAGGAACAACAGGCTCAAGAGTTGGATTGGAATTTCCAAAAAGTGGAGCCCCTTCAATATACCTTCCTGCTATACATACATATTTGAGTTCCGGAGTGTAAACAGGTTTAGAGCAATTTTGTTCAACATAATCGAGGAGACCCCTGGTTTGATCTATAACACCATAGACACCTTTTGGAGCTGGCCTGAAACACAACAAAAATAGAATAAGTGTTATTAATAAAGTTTATATCAAAATAAAAGACAGACGGGTAATAAGTTATTAATGAGTTAGTTACTAACAGGTGAGGGGTACCAAGAGTTAATAACAAGGATATATGAGAGACTCCAAATTGTTCCATGTAGAGGCGTGCAAGCCATCCTCCTGCTGAGTGGCCAATTAAGGATAAAGTGGAACCTGGTGGTGCTAACTCCTTGGCCTCTTCAACAGCATCGTGAACTCTTTTCAAATACCAATCGAGGACAGGGCTTGGTTGAAGAGTGCCGCGCCAGTAATTGGGATCAATCAACCCAGCAGCATTTCGGAACCAGTCAAGTCTCGATACCTTAGCCACCACAGTGGACACGCCGTACTTATCGTTCAGCGTTGCTTCCAGTTTCTGGTAGTCACCTGAATTGTTCCCTAACCCCTGATTGAAGAAACCAACGTGAATAACAGTATCAACATCAAAATGAATGCATAGAGAGAAAGAGAGCGATAGACTAACCGGGAGAATAACGGCGGGTCGGTAATTGTTGGGAGAAGAAGAAGAAAGGTTTGAGCATCTGGATGGAAATGGAGGAGGAGGAGAGTGAGAGAGACATTTTGCTCCACAAACAAACATCACTGCTCACACCTTCCTTTACCCACTACTTACTCTCCACTTGTTTATTTTCTATAAAAGTGCTTATACATTTTTTTTTAAATTCACAAAATATTTTAATTTTTTTATGAAAGATTATTTTTAATGCAAATTGTTTAAACGTGACATGATCAAACTATAAATAACAGAAATAGGAACTTACAAATCAAATTTAAAATTGATTTTTATTGAATTTTTTATTTATAATATTCTAAACATATTATAAGTTATTAAAAAGTTTAAGTTAATTTAACAATATAGATTAAAATTGATAGAAGTGTTATGCGTGGGAATAAGAACGAATCAATAACTCATGGGTGTGGATTGAATAGTGGACTTAAACTTTTAATAAAGTGGAAGATGCGCTTACCTGCAAGGTTAGCACTCAAGTACTTAAGTCAATATGAAAGTAAGATGAGTTAATAAAATTTGAATTCAAAAGGCACCTGAGAAATGGTGTATCTCTCTCTCTTATATTATAGGGCTATTATAACTGCTTGTTAATTTAATAGCAGGGAATACGAGGATCCGTGTGATTGATCTTGGATCGAGATCACCTGCATTCTTGACTAGGATAGCACATTTGCCCTACATGTGACGTGGTGATTCATTCTACTTTCTGGGCCATAATTATTGGGTCTCTGATTGGCCTAGAACACTTGCCCCCAAACCCTTTTCTTTACTTTGTATGGGGGCTTTGTTGCATTTGCATTTGTCACCTTTTATTGGTTGTTGCACAACTTGAGTGAAAAAGTCACTATGCGGTGTCATTGTTATGGAGAATTCGCGCCTTAAATGCGCTTGTACTTTAGATGTCATTTCACATACTTCATCATGATGACCTTTGGGAACTAGAGTACTCAAGTGTCTTTTTGAGAAAATATGGATCGTTGATGGGGCATATTTCCTTTCTTTCAGTAATACATCACATGATTTTTCAGAATAATTTATGGTTTCTTTGATCATAATTCTTGACCTTCCGTCATTTTCATTCCTTGCAACATAATATCCTCTTTACTAATGAAGGCGGTTCTCATCATCTGTCAAAAAGCGAAGGAAAATACTCTTGTTGCTTTGGTAGACTCTGAAATTCAATAACCATTTCTATCTTCGGTCACGAAGGTAGTCTCGAAAGGGTTTTTCTTGGAACGGGTCCTTCTTCCGGTTGAAGCGTACTAATACCTGAATAAAACAAAAAGTATTCTAGTTAATTTAGTGGACGCACCTTCCCTTTTATGAGTGCCCCTTTTCAATTTTAGATCTATGTTGTCTTTCATTGAATTTGAATTTGAAGTTCTTAATCATCTGATGATTGCTCCTTTGTAATTGAATCTTGTTAATTGGCCTTTTATCAAAGTCTTCTAGTATTAGTGTGACTATAGGGGAGGAAAACCATATTTGTCATTCTTCTTTAAAATTTTCAAGGTACAACATAGTGTTATAAATCGTGTGCAACGTCGGGGCTTGATTACATTGATGCAAGTTACCTGTTATTTTAAAGGGTATTTTGATGGTGTGAAACATTTCCAAAATATGCTCATTTTAGTTACTCCTCTCAACGAAGAGACTCACACGAAGATCTGTGCCATAGAGGCTAAATCGAATTACCGATGTACAGGCTTATTTTGTAAGTTCTAGAGCTAATGGCACTTTTTAACGGGGAATAGGTCATATGTCGGTTAAATGTCAAACATGTTTTAATTTGATCCATATTTATTCGCGTTTTTCATCTTATTTGTTATGTTTTGTTGGATTTATTCCATGTTTTCATGTTATTCTTCAAATATATTGCATATACCTTTTGTTGCTTTGATTTGTGTGTTAATGTGCTGGATTTAGGCATAAAACATCAAAGTGTAAGACACAAGTAATTTGACAAGGAATCCAAAGAAAATGTGAAGGTTTAGCATGTTTTCTAGGCGAACATCCAACGAGGACCAACAATGAATGTTCGTTGGACGAGCTCCTGGCGAAGCCCCAACAAACCCTCTCAGATTAGAGGCAGAAAGAAAAGGGAACTAAGTTCGCTGGGTGAACTTGAAGCGAATGTTCGCTAGGCGAGGTTGCACTGAAGGAAAAACGAACCATCCCTGTTTTAAGGTAGTAACTAAAGGATCCTAAGTTCAATGTACAAACTTGTAGCGAAGAAGCTCGTTGGGTGAAAAAAAGTGTTCACACAACGAACTTTGTGATTTCCTCAAGGACGGTTTAACTGTTCAGAGGCACTTCAGGTGCCATAAAGTAGTGTTCGTCGGGCAAGGAATGAGTTCGCTGGGCGAACTTGGAAGATTCTAGTTGTACTATATAAGTACTTTTCGCACTTTTTGGGGATCATAACTCATTTTTCACATAAAAACCTTATTTTTCAGCATTTCTTCACCAAAGAGTGATATTTTGCAAATAGAAGTTGGATTCACATACGAGTTCAATTCTTCGACGTGGATGCTCATTAATCTTCTCTCTTTACTTGTAAATCAAGGTACCATGGTTATGGGTAGCTAATTTCTCTTATATCAAAGGTTGCGGTAGTCTAACTTTGTTTTATGTATTTATTTTGATTAGCCTTGTATGTGAACAAGTGATGATTAATATATGATAAATATTTTTGTTCTTAATGATCCATTCTTGTCTTGTAAAACTCTAGACATAAATTTTATGGAACTTAACCTAAAATATTCATCTATGAATTTATAGATTGGAGAGATCGGTTTATGGTTGATATTTGCTTTGTATTAAAATTAAAGCTTACTAGATTGGTTATTATATGGAGAGATCGTGCAGCAATGAATATGGTATTTCTCACGACGACGCTCTAGAGATAAACGGTGGGGAGAGAATACGCGATGATATTAATCTGATCCGACTTCACATGCAAGATTGAAAAAATACGTATAGGTTAGGGTAGATGAAAACTACTTTTTATATACTTGGTTAATCAAACACTTTAAAATTTATAAGCTTTGCTACTAAAAATCGTGACAATTTATGAACCGAAATTTGAAAACCCTTTTCCTTAGAACGATAACTATTGAAAGGCAAGCATTAAGATAACGGACAATCTCTATGGAGACGATAATAAAAAAAAACCCTTTAACTACGATTCGAACAAAATGGTGTCGCTGACGGGGATTGTTGTTGATATTGCAACCATTGCAATAGTTTATTGATTTTAATTTCTTTGTATTATGATATCTTACCTCTGTTTATTTTTCTTGTGATGTTTAATTTATTTGGTTAAGTGTGCAAATTCTATTTATGCAAGGGATTATACTTGCGTACCAACTTCTATTCGATTATGAGATTCAAAGGACTGCTCGGAAACTCAATAGCATAACTAGGCGAAGAAGGCAACTTGCTAATGAAATATGAGAGCGCGAAGAAACTTCTTCATCAACACACATTGTTATGCCAAACATGGAAAATACACCACCACCACCTCCTCTTACTTCAACCACATGTGTTAATAGTCCGAGACACAATGCTCAGTTTGCACGGAACACCAACAACAGAAGGCATTCAAAGATGAAAACGAGAATCCTAGCTCTTTTATATGCAAATCCCTTTGCAGGGATGGACCATGAGAATCCATTTACTCGTCTTGTGAAGTTCTATGAGATAGCGGGTGCAATTGGAGCTCCGGAATTCGAAGATGAATCTTCGCTCAATATATTATTCCCTCACTCCTTAATTGGGAAGGCGAAGGAGTGGTATCTTGACCAATCTACTCTTATGATGACGAATTTGAATATTTTAGAGGAGAATTTTCTTGAACGATTCTTCCCTTAATCTATATTTATGGAGGTCAAGACTTCGATTTTAATATTTACGTAAGGAGGAAGTGAATATCTCAACAAAGCGTGGGAGATATTCAAATATATGCTGAGAAAGTGCAAGGTCCATGGTTTTGATGATTTGACTCAAGTGCACATATTCCGCAACGAACTTCAACCCGTTCATAAAACTTTTTTGGATGCTACAACGGGTGGTTCTCTAATGTCAAAGAGTGCGAAAGATGCAATGTCCATCATTGATAGGGTGGAACTAAATGATCATCAAGGTCAACACAATCGTGGTACTTCGCAAAGAAAAATGGAAATTATCGAGTTGGGAACGAATGATGCTATTCTTGCTTAAAATAAGTTACTCTCGCAACAAGTGGAGTTGTTGACAAAGCAAATGTCAAAACTTCCACAACAAATCAAAGAGATGTAAGAAGTTACCAACAAAGTTCAACAAATTTCAAGTTGTGAATTGTGCAAAGGTGATCATTCTACCGACTATTGTCCACCGGTCGTTGAAGAAGCCAGCTATGCGGGAAACGAAAATCAAGGCTATCAACCAATACCACCATATCAAAGTAATAACAAAGGCTACTGACCAATAAGTAATAGCCAAGGTTACCAACAAGGGTGGAGGCAAGAACCTAGTTCATCTAACTGTCAACCATTTCAAAATTACAACCAACCTTCGCAAAATAAGGGTGGAAGCTCAAAGATTGAGGAAACTCTTAATCAATTTATGCAACTATCGATGTATAACCAAAAGAGCATTTATTCCTCGATTGGAATATGAGGCACAAATTAGTCGATTGTCTAAACAATTGGTCGATAAACAAAAAGAAGCCCTTCCGGTTAAGCCTCATTTAGATCCTAATGCGGTGTGCAAAGCCATCCTTGCTAGGAATGGTAGAAAAATTGATTTGAGAATTGGTGAGAAGGAAGTGGAGAAGGAGGTTGTAGTTGAAAAAAATAATGATGAGAAGTTTGTTGAAAAGGAGGATGAAATTGTGGAGGAAGTTGAAGGAAATTTGAAGGATGGTTTAGTTAAAAAGAAATAGAGATAAGAGAAAAATAATAATGATAGGAAGGGGAAGGAGCAACTGGACATACCTATCCAACATTTACCTTATCCGACTGGGGGTATACTCTGGCTCTTTGTCTGATTAGGGAGTATACTTGGGCTCCTCATCTTCAACTGGTAGA